TTTCTTTTTTCCGGGCAACTTTTTTTTGGGTTTCTCAAGGGGGCTTTCTCTGACCCCGTGAGCCCCTGAAAAGTAACCCCCCCCCCCCCCCCCCTTTTGCACTCTTCCTTGAAGAGATTTTTCATTTCAATTCCTGTCGGTACAGGAGTTTTTACCCTCTCATTTCCTGTGTATCAATTCCTGGGTCCAATTCCTGTGTATCAGGAGGACACTGTAGCAGATTTCACTTACCCGGGAAATTGTGAGTTCTTATGAATCACAAGTTAATTGGGGGAGAGCATTCGGGACTTGAACCAGTTTTCAAAAGTTTTTATTCCTTACTCAAATGCTTTTTTTTGGGGGGGGGGGGTGCGAGTAGCATATGCTCTACCTGTCAGCACTCTTATTTGGCCGAGTGACATTTGCTTATTTGAGTTTCTTTATTTTTCTATCTAATGAGAAACTTTTGATATTTAATATTTTGAAGGAGGATTTTTTCCCCCCTTCCATTATTTTAGAGGTGAAGTCTATAAAATCTTGGACTTGTATGTTAGGTATCTTCCCAGAGTTCCAAACTAAGGTGCAGGAAAGTAATTTATACAGACCTGAGGGCTTCAGCATGGGATAGAATTTTATATAACAGAACATAGGGAGTACTACACCGAGAAGTGTGGTGCCTGCAGACAGCTGTGTGTTCTTGCTCTCTCTGAAGCCACTGCTGAGAGAAGCTTTGTGGGAATGAATGTAAGTCTGAGGTTAGCTATGGTAACTTCTCCATTCAGGATCTGGATTAAATATGATACTTTCTCAAACAATGTTTCCATCCTATACTTTTTGTCTTTTGAAGTAATGAGTTCTACAAGTTTATTAGCTCCTAAATTATGTAACAATTCATTCATTTATCCCAAACCTGTTTCTTTGATGCACCAGGACACATGCAGAGTTTGTGTTTTGAGAAATGCTATTATAGGCTGGAGTTATTCTTTTTCTGGTTTTACAGAGTTTGAGTGTTTCTCTTTACCATTATCTTTCCTGACCCTTTGTATGTCTTAGACTAATTTCTTCAATTCCTTTGATCATTTTGCTCTCTTCTGGAACTTTTCCACCTTTTTTTTTTTTTATATATGCCTTGTTCTTGTTATTTTTTATGAGGAACCTTAAATTCTATCTATTTTACTTTTATTATTTTATTTTTTTAATCTTTACCTGAGGATATTTTTCCATTGATTTTTAGGGAGAGTGGAAGAGAGAGGGAAAGACAGAGAGAAATATCGATGTGAGAGGAATACATTGATTGGTTGCCTCCTGCACCATTCCTGACCAGGGCCTGGGCCAAGAAGGAGCCTGCAACTGAGGTACATAACCTTGACCAGAATCCCTTCTGTCCTCTCTAGCCACTGAGCCAAACCGGCTAGAGCTCTATCGATTTTAAATGGGTACTGACATGAGTAGTGGATATAATGTTAGATGTAAAATCAGAAACAAATGTCTCTGGTTCTGTTATCTTATTTTGTGACCTTAAGGAATTCACATATCTCATGTTTTACAGAAGAAGAAAAGTATAATCTTTCATAAGGAGGAAAGGAGGACAAACCAACAAACTATAGTTTAAGTATAGATTGTACTCCATCAAAGTTGTTTACTTACCTTAAGACTTTTTATTGCTTGACTATGGTAATGTTTTGTTGCATATTTGGGTATCAAAGAAACAAAGTATTTGGGATCCCTACCTTTGAGATGCTTTTATTTATAGATGGCAAAGGCAATGAATCACAAATTGCACAAGACTGTAGGAAAGTGAGAATGGACCACGATTTATCTACTACCATTATATGTCAGTTACTGTGTTTGGTACCTCATAGATATAAATGTATTTGCACACTTTTCATTAGGGAAATGATAGTGTTGAACGATGGAGGACTAATTGGAATGTCTGAACCAAATCTGTGAAGATATTTTTTTGGGAAGAAAAGTGTTTCAGACTTTTGGAATTGGAGGGTGTGAGGGACAAATGTAATTAGAAATTTAGATTGATAGGAATACAGAGGGAAGTTGTTGAATAGGCTTAGGATCAATCTGTGTTTGTGTAAATACATGTTTACAGATCAAAGAAGCAATTGAGAACAATGTTCCTGAGACAGTTTTAGATGAGGAGAAACTGTATTTTAGGCCAAGAGGCATTATACCTTTTTCTAGGGAACCAACATTTTTACACTATGGTCACTGAAGAGCTATACAGATGGAGGAGTGAAAAAGAAGGCCCTTCCAGTATTTCAGTATGGTGCTAATGAGCGATTTCTTGTAAGACATAATTCAGAAATGGGGCATTGTATTTTTTTTTTTTGACCTTAAATTTCAGGGTAAACAAACATTGGATACTAATGCAAGCTCAAGACAATAAAATAATGAGTGATATGCTGAAAATGTAGAGCTGGGAGTCATTTTCAAAGTATTAAGGTTTCTCGAGAGTGCT